TTATCCTCTAAGCTAAAGAGACTCAAAGGTGTTTTTAAGACTATATGCAAGGAAATAGGACATAGTACTGAGCTTGTCCAATCTGTAAAAGCTGCTCTTGAGAATTGCCAAATTAATATCGATAGGAACCAATCAGACCATAGCCTGATTCAGGAGGAGAAGAGGCTTCTGGCAGCTTATCTGGAGGTTGCCAAAGATGAGGAGTTGATCTACAAGCAAAAATCAAGGATCTTGTGGCTTAAAGAGGGTGATCAGAATACAAGCTTCTTCTTCAGGACTATGATTAATAGAAGAAGTAGGAAGAAAATTATTTTTATAAAGAGAATGGATGGGACCATTGCTAACAGTGAAGAGGAGGTCAAGACTGAAGTCATTGACTATTTTAAGCAGCTCATGGGACAGCCTAGTTACACCATGCCTGACAGTGAGAGAAAGAGAAGTCTTGACTCAATCATTCAAAGGAAAGTCTCTGATCAGCAATCTGGGACTATGGTTAGGGAGTTCTCCAATGAGAAAATCCAGCAGACTTTCTTTTCCATGAGTAACCAGAAGGCTCCTGGCCCTGATGGTTTTAACACATATTTCTTCAAGAAGGCTTGGTCAATCATTGGACAAGAGGTCATCGATGTTGTAAAGGAGTTCTTTTCTCAAGGTATGCTTCCCAATGAACTAAATGCTACCATTATCACATTGGTTCCGAAGGAGCCTAATCCTACATCTATGAATGACTTTAGGCCAATCTCATGCTGTAATATCATCTACAAGGCTATCTCCAAGCTCATTGCTTCTAGAATCAAGGAAGTGATCCCTTATGTTGTTGACCATAGTCAAGCTGTCTTTATCCCTGGTAGAAGGATTGGTGACAACATTTTAATTTCTCAAGAATTATTCAGAAATTATCACAGGAATCATGGTGCTGCAAGGTGTGCAATCAAGTTGGACTTGAGGAAACCCTTTGATACTATTAATTGAGGTTTCTTAATGGATGTTCTTGATGTTATGGGGTTTCCTCTCTTGATTAGAAAATGGGTTTGGCAATGCATTTCTACTCTCAAGTTCTCTGTTAATGTTAATGGTGAACTTGCTGGGTTTTTCCCTAACGTGAGAGGCTTAAGGCAAGGAGATCCTATATCCCCTTACCTTTTTGTGATTGCAATGGAGATATTATCCTTACTATTAAGCAGCATGTCTCTTTTAATGATACTTTCAAGTTTCATTGGAGATGCAAGAAAATTAAGCTCACTCATCTTATGTTTGCTGATGATATTTTGCCCTTCTGCTATGGGGATCTATCTTCTACCAAGGTGTTCAAAGATTCCTTGGACCAGTTCCAAGCAATGTCTGGGTTGAAAGTCAATCAGGCTAAAAGCAGTCTCTTTATGAGCGTTATTCACAATGAGATTGAGGATCAAATTGTGCATCTTTTCGGCTTCACTGTGGACCAGCTTCCTGTCAAGTACTTGGACATTCCCCTGATATCCACTAGATTGAAAACTCTTCATTGTAATAATCTCGTCATTAAAATTGAGAAGAAAATTAATTCTTGGACGAATAGATTTTTGTCCTTTGCTGGTAGACTGATTTTGATTCAGAGTGTCATTTACAACATGCATACTTATTGGTCTGGTCACTTATTTCTATCTCCATAGATCATTGAAAGAATTGAGCAGCTTATGAGGAGATTTCTATGGAAAGTGACTGATATGAGAAGCACTGGTGCCAAAGTATCATGGGAATTAAAAGGATTGTAAGCCTAAGGAGGAGGGTGGGTTGGGAATTAAAAGGATTAAGAATGTAACACTGCTATGATGATGAGATATATATGGTTGCTTTTTACTAATAAGCAAAATCTGTGGGTGAAATGGATTCATATTTATCACTTAAGGGGCAGAAGTTTCTAGAGACTTAAAGCTTCTCAGTCTTGCTCTTGGAACTGGTTGTGTCTACTTAAGTTAAGGTCCTTAACCAGGCCACTCATCAAGCATGTGATTGGGAATGGATAAACTACAAAGCTATGGTATGATAATTGGCATCCTATGGGACCTCTGGATTTATGTGTTCGTATGAATAGAATTGAGGAGCTTCGTCTCAATTTGGAGGAGTCTGTCAACAATATTATTAACAACAGCCAGTGGCAATGGCCACTATATTCCAATATCTTCCACGATATGGTCAAATCCATGCCTTCCTATTTCCCTAACCCTGCTATTGAGGACTCTATCAAGTGGACTCTTAATGGCAGAATGAGATTCAGCACCAAATCTGCTTGAGATCAAATCAGACAAAGGGAACCTTTTGTTAGCTGGTATAAGCTGGTCTGGTCTGAGAAATCTATCCCTAAAATGTGTTTCATCCTATAGCTAGCTGTTAGAACAGGCTTAGCACCCTTAATCGTATGCAATCTTACGCTGCTCATTTGGGAGTTGGATGTATTTTGTGCAAGACTTCTCCTGAAACACATCCTCATTGTTTTTTGCTTGCTCTTACTCCTCTAATGTTTGGTCTGCTACTCTCTCATTTGCTGGAGAGTTATGGCAGCCTAAGCCTTGGAATGAATTTGTTGATAAAGCTGTTTTTAATTGGAAGGTTAAGTCGATGAAGAAATTGATTTGCAGAATCTGCTTGGCTGCCACTGTTTACTACTTGTGGATGAAGAGGAATAAAAGAAGATTTAGAAATCAGTTCAAGGACTCAATTTCTATTGCCTATCTTATCCTACAGATTGTGTGGAGTAGATTGGCTTCTCTCAAATACAAGACCTCTTATAGCAATATTCAAACTATTTAGAACTGGAGACTACCACTTAGTTATCTCACCTAATCCCTTGTTTCAGAGGTCTCCCCTGTTTTTGTTGGGTGGTATTTGTCTGGAAGTGGTCACTAACATTTAGGCTTGCAATTGGCTTACCTAGGAAAAAAAGGTTGTTTGCCCATGCCAATTCTTGATCATGGCTGATTTGTTATGGGTGGTGATGAGGGATACTGACCAGTTGTATTTGAAGACTTGAAGATGGTTGTTAATCCCTATATTCAATGTGGATTCATACATTCAATGTTTACAAAATGCTTCAGGAAAGTATATTTCATTGTGGCATTTTACTGGGACAGAATGGTGGATTATGAATTTGCTTTTTGTTAGGTGTTATTTGGTTCCAGTGGTGGACCTTCAAGGCAAAGCTGTTGTATTAGAAGTAGCAATTTCATGGGAAGGCTTCGGATTACTTTCCCTGGCCTATCTTCTTTACATTTCTCGATGATCTTTGGCTTTCGCTGGTCGCTCTTCCTTACTTCTATTTGGTCCCTCTTGCGTTTCATGGTGGTGTTTCTGTTGGTTTTTGCCCTGTGCAAGTGTTGCTTTTATGGAGGGTGGCTAACTTTTCTTATTCTTGGTTCCCTGTATATGGCATTTGTTGGAGGGGATGTCCCTGCTCTTATTTCTCTGTTGTTTTGTTCCCCGATGTAGCTTGCTCTTATTCTCTGTTGTTTCAGTTGTCGTTTCAGCTATTGGGCCAGTGTGTTGTTGCAGCTGGGTTTTTTGCTGGATTTTTCTGCTGACTTGTTGATTGGGTTGGTTGGGCTACGTTGGTGTGATTTAGTTGGAGCCTTTGAGCACTGTTCACGTGACTGTTCATGTGTTTTTCAGTTGTTTTTTTTTTTTGGGATATCTTTGCCTGGTCTCTCACTCCAACTAGTACGTACACAGGTGCTGAACTGGAGCTAATCTGGATATTGTTGTTGTTCTAGATTTGAACAGTCTTTTTGTCCGTTTTTGTCTACCAATGCATACTTTGTCTACAATTCTGTGGAATATACTCTTAATCAAGGCATCTCTTATAAACTTGTGTTTTTACCCTTGATTTTTTGGTCTTTGAGTCTTACGCGACTTCACTGTTCATTTCGTGAGTAATTACCCTTGTATATATGGTTTCTTTTAATACATTTTACTTTCCAAAAAAAAAAAACAACTTAAAATAAGTTAGGTATCTATTCCTCTTTTCAACACTATTTTTTCTCCCTAATCTGTACTCTTTTTTTTTTCTCATACAATTAATCATTGGTAATCTCAAAAAAATGTTTGGTGTAACGGTGATATCAACATCTAATAAAAATATAATAAATAAGCAGGTGGATCTCACATATTATAATAAATACTCTGTCATGTAATTTAATAACCATCAAAGTATGGTTCACCTTCCCTATGTGTAGGTTTATTATTAGATGGTGACACCACCATGTGTAGGTTGTCCAACCTTGAAATGAAACTTTCATGTTGGAGCAAGAAATAGCATGAAAGTCAATCTATTACGACTATCATGGTTGTTTATATTTCATTTTCTTCTTCCAAACCAACCTCTTCTTAGAAAGTATTCACTGAATTACTCACGAAATCTTGAATCAAAACAAGTACCCGCACACAATAAGTAGAATGGAACCTTTTGCTAGTAGGGTACTAGAAGATCTTTTAAGATCTCAACTATTTCCAGAGAAATTGTGTCAAAATACTAAAAAGGATATCAAATTGAATAAGAATGTAGATGAACTAGTGACTTGTTACAAGAAATATATATGTGTAATTGGTGATAATTCTATGCAATATGATTTGTGCTACATATCCTTTAAAGTTAAGATCTAAAAATGGATTAATTTATTCAATCGATATTGTCTTTACGATGTCAACGATGATGTGGTGTCACCGTTACACCAAATATTTATTTAGTAATCTCTCTCTCTCTACATCAAGTAGATTGTTCAATTTGTTGAAAAAAAATTAAGAGTATTATGTCTTTTATACTATATTGTTAATCCTGTTATTTGTTGCACTTTATTCCAAAGGTATGGATGTTATGTGTAGATTTCTAAAATAAAAGGAGAACAAGTGCCAGTTTCTCAAATCAGGTGAAGGTGAAGGTAAAGTATAATTTATCCAAAAAACCTTGGCATTGGAAGGGTACAGAGCTAGCTAGCTAGCAAGCCAAGAAATTAACCTGAAGGACAGAGAAAATGGAGGAATGGGAGATTCAGGTTGAAGATGAAGCAAGATACATGACGGATGATTCAAGAGAAATGGACCTCCTTAAGCGACCGTGCATCTACCATCCTTCGTTGCAGATCAAAACCACAAAGCCTACAGACCTCAAACAGTGCCATTCGGCCCTTACCATCACGGTGAGGTTCATCTGAAGCCAATGGAGTATCACAAGCAACGTTTTCTCATTCATTTCCTTCGGAGGAGACAAATGCCTCTAAAATTCATTATCGATTCCTTCCGTCAAGTGGCACAAGAGTTGAAAGACTCGTACGATTCACTTGATTCTAACTGGTAAGATGACATAGAAGGGTTCTTGAAGCTGATGATTGTTGATGGCTGTTTCATGCTGGAAATCTTCCTGGCAGCCCATAAAACTCCGGCCGATTACGACGCTGAGGATCCGATTTTCGGCAAGCACGGGAACCTCTATAGGCTATATCATACCATTTATCAGACAGGACATGTTGCTGCTTGAAAATCAATTGCCCATGTTTGTTCTTGACATGCTTCTAGAAAAATAAATCTTAAGCATGAGCACATGGAAGTATAATGATAGTATATGCTTTGACAAACAAAAATTTTAATAACTAGTTTTCACTATTGAGCAATGCTACGTGAACTTAAAAAGTTGACATAATAATCTCAACCATTGATTTCACTGTAGGTCCCAGTATTTACTGGGACTCACTATCTATTCAATGGTTGAGATTATCAAATCAAATTTTTAAGTTTAATTTTTAAGTTCATCTAGCATTCCTCGATAAAATGACGTAGTCCATTGATCTTCTCTCAATATGGTGTGTTTAATGGGTTAAAAAAATTGATTTTAGGAGTTGCATTTTTTCCATGAATTTAAAAAAAAAAACTGGATTAAGTGACTGCCTGGAAAATTTCTAGCATGAAACAGCCATCAACAATCGTCAGCTTCAAGAAGCCTTCGTTGTCAGTTTGCCACTTAGAATCAAGTGAATCATATGAATCTTTCAACTCTTGTTCTACTTGGGCGAAGGAATCGAAGATGATTTTTAGAATAACTCGTGGTCAAAACTGTATAATTTGAATAGCTCTTCGATAAAAATTTGAGTAAAAATTTGGTCAAGATTTATCCAAATTATTGTTTTTACCCATATTTAGGTATTACATGACATATTTATAATAAAAAATTGTTAGCAATTTTTATATTGTTTGTTTGAGTGACAACACAAAAACATATTCAATATTTCAAGTACCAAAATTATGAAATTAAAATATTGGAGACCAAAATGAGACAAACCTCGTAACTTTGGGAACTTCCGATGCATTTTAACTTTAAATTTTAACCATTAATAGAGTTTATTGCCAATCTAATGACAATAAGACAACAAATTAAGTTCAAATAACATTGATCAATTTAAAACTTGTTTTTATGGAGGGTTTTTGTTTTTTATTTCACAAGTTTTTCATCCATATGAAGACGACAAACATTATCTTGTGTCTATAATATTCAATTGTCCATGTAAAATTTTTGGAACTACATTCGAATTTTAATACAAAACTATTGGTTCATTTGCTTAGTTTTGGTAAGAAAGTAAAATCACCATAATTCATGCAGGGACGCGAGCAGTTCATGAACAACCTCATACTGCGATTCTATAATTCTGAAGCACGTTGGCAAAGAATGGAAAAATGCTTGCACGTACTTGATGTATACCGGAAAAGCCTAGTTTTTAGAGACAACGTCACAAGATCTGACATTGTCAGCAGAATATATTATAGGGATTCCAGGATGTCTCGTTCGGCGAAGCAGTTGTATGATGCTGGTGTGATAATCAAAAGATCACACCCTAGCAACCAAAAATTCTCATTCAAAGGAAGGGTCCTACTTCTCCCCTTGTTCATTATAGATGAGACCACTGAATCAACATTTCTAAACATGACAGTTTTTGAACGTTGCTATGACAACATTTGTATGTTTCATGAGCAACCTAATTTGCAGCACCGGGGACATCAATGTCCTGGAACCCTAAGGGGTCATTCGTAAAACTTTTGGGACTGACCAAGATGCGGCTAACCTAATCGACACGATCTCTTGGGGCTTGGCAATCGACCCATCACATCAACTAATAGATATTCTTAAGGATGTCAATGATTACAGCACGATGTGGCAAAACAGGTGTCTGTGTCGCGTTCACTAATTTCATTGAAAACTATTTCTCAAGTCCATGGACTCTTATTTCTGTTATCGCTGCGGGCGTTCTTTTCGGTCTCACCATAACTCAGACAGTATACAGCGCTCTGCAAGACTACCAAGGCAACAAGAAGCCAAGAACTCCCTTCTCTCCCATGTCCCTTCCTAATAATTATGATACCGTCCCATTTTCCTCTCACTGTCGTCTATGCTTGTTTGTAAGATGATTTTGGTGAAAAATGGTTGATTAATATGTATGTAGTAGCCATGGCATCATGAATAATATGACTTGTCAAAGTAGAGATGAATGTTGCTTCACTTCAGTAGCCATGTTTTCTCTTAAGGAATTTGGGCACATAGGTGAAGCAAGCAACTCTCACCCTAGTACACCAAGGGGATTGGAAATAAATAAACACTTGAATTATTGTCATTGCTTTTTTTGCTATTGCATTGGTGTGGTCTAATGTTAAATTTTAGATTGGGAAAGATTGCAAATTGAGATGGAAGAAGATAAAGGAAGACACAAATTTACGTGGTTTAGCCTATTCAAGCTTCCATCCAGGGATTCAACTGTACTGGACTTCCACTATATTAATTCTCAGATTACATTGTGGAGTGTGTGTATTTGTACAAGTGGATATTTTTCCTGACAAGAAAACTAAATAAAAGGGTTTGTTGTATCAAAATTTAATTATTTATGTATTATTTTAATCCAACTAATTTACTTCGTTTTAACAAACTCTATTATTTATTTGTTAAGCTTATCAAAAATCATCATTAAGTCAGCAACATCAAAACAAATAAATGCACAATTTTTTTATTATTTTTATTATAACAATAATATTTAGATTCAATTTATTGACCTAATTTAATAAACTAACCGAGGATTAATAAGAAATCTAAAAGTACTAAAAGTCACTATCAATTTAATGTTAAATTATTTTAAAAGTGAATTTCATGAAGGACATTTTCAAACCCCGCCCCGGGGGATATTTCTATTGCATGTTTTGGAGTAGAAGGTTTCTAGCAACTATCATAAGAATAAGAATTCATAAACATGAATTTACTGTTAGCATAAACCTAATTAACTTTAACCCCAAAAGTAATTCAAATGATAACAATGATAATTATAAATTTAAATGTCTTTAATTTGAATCTGATAACTCCTTAGGGTCAGACCATAAAAAATTTATCTCTCATAAATATCATACTCCCAATGTGGTTTGTCCGTCTTTAACCAGATTAAAGAATGGATTAATTGAAGTGCACGTAAATTGGTCCAACCAACCCTAACTATTAAACCAAAAATAAAAAACCTAATTAATGATTACAATTTTATTAATTTATAAAATTTAAATTTAATAATTATAATCACTGAATAGATAATAAATTTTAATAAATTTAATAAATAATCCATAATGAATTAATTGTTATAATTATTAAATCCAATTTTTATCTCTATGTCGGATTGTTCTTTCCCTCTTGCATAAGAACTTTTTTGGCAACGCATGAAAGGGACATACGATTATATGTAATGCTATATTACCATCAAATTGGGCAATATATTTGAACCACAATGTATAACATTTATGCAATTTCAAACCAAAATTTAAAACGACTATCAAATTGATTTAAAACACTTCAAATTTTTATTCCACCAAAATTTAACATAAACAGAAAAATTTTGGTCGAAAATCGAGCACTAAATCAAGCGATAACAGTGATTTATTAGTTCAATAAATTAAAGTGTGAGTGGGTAATATTCCTCACTTCTCACCCTTAGCCTTGGTAGTATTGCAAAGCGCCGTAGGCAGTCTGAGCTATGGTGAGACCAAAAAGAACACCGGCGGCCACCACGGAGATAAGAGTCCATGGATTGGTGAAGTAAGTATGTATCAGGTTGGCTCGCCACCTGTTCCGCCTCCTCTCGCAGTACGAACTCATCTTCAAATTCACCGACCCCAGCTTACTCTCTGGATCTATCGTCAAGTCATTAGAGATTGTGTTGAACAGATTCGCTGCACCTTTGTCACTTCCGATGAGATTTTGAACGATCCTTTTGCCCTGAAGAAACCTGACGTCAGAAGAGGTATCGATGAGGTTGTCCATGAACCAGATGTATGAGGCCACCTCATGGCCGGCGCTAACATGGCAGTGTTCAAAAGCTATCATGTTCAAAAATGTCGATTTTGTGGTGTCGTCGATTACGAAGGTGGGGAGGCTCAGTACTCCTCCTTTGAATGAGATGTCATTGATGCTCGGACTTTTTTTTATTCTCTTGAATCGGACACCGGCTTCGTTCAACTCGGTTGCGGATCGCGTGATCGGAATTAATTCGTCCCGATGCTTATCTTTTTTGCTGGCATCGCTGCCGGCGCTGGTGCCGGTCATGGGGGTGGTGGCGGTGGATTTCATGAACAGGCTTTTCCGAAACATATCAAGTACGTGCAAGCATTTTCCCGTCGGTGGAGGAATGTCACGAGAGTCGGGATTACAGAACTTATGGATCAACTCGTTGATGGACTCGTCACCATTCTACGTGAATATTTGAGGTGATGTTAATTAATTTGCATTTTCACAGAGAATAATATTAAATTTTGAGATTAAATTTAGAGTTCAAATGACATGATAGCATATTATTTGAAGTTTTTATTGGAACCTAAATGACATGAAACTAAATAAAAAAATTCATGTCAACTATCATGTCATTTAAACTTTATATTTAATCTTAAAATTTAGTCGACGTAATCTTACTGTTTCACAAAAATTATGCTCTAACCAAACGAAACCAAAGTTTTGTATGCAAACTTCACATGTTCTTCCAAACATTTCACATGGAAATTATGTATTAAGACATAGAAGGGAAATGTTTAATATTCTTATGGGTATAATAAAGTAGGTTAAAATTCAAATTTTAAAAATAAATAAAATGACTTTTATTTTACGCAGTTAAGATCGTTTTAAATTTTACTTTAAAGTTAATTTAACGACTAATATTAACATCCTAAATTTAATAAGAAAAATAAGGTCTTAAGGGTATGTTTAGAGTGATTTTTTAAAAATATTTTTACAAATTTTTTTTCATAAATATTTTAAAAAAATAAAATTTGAAATCGCCCTACCACTATCTCTACCACCACCACCGCTGCCATCACCACCATCGTCGCGGCCACCATCGCCGTCGCCATCACCATCATTGCCGTTGTCGTCGCCACTATCACTGCCACCACCACTGTCACCGTCATCACTACAACCACCAACACAATCATTGTCACTCACCATATCCATTACCGTCTTCTACCACCACTTCTCACCTCTACTATAACCGATGTTTAAATTCACTTATCTCTTCCCTATATTTTTTATTTGGATATGAATACAAATATATATATTATTTTTTATTTTTATTTTTTATTACTTTGTACTTTTGAGCACAAACAATAACTAATTTTTATATATTAAATAATTCATAAGCATATCTTTTTTCTATAGTACGAACTTTATCATGTTTTTCAAATTTATGTTTATCATGTTCCTTTTAAGGTCGGCTTTAGATTGTTAGTCTATCCCTTGGGTGTGCATTGAGCTATTGTGTAGTATTTTTTTTTTTGGAATGCAATAATGGTAGGAAAATGCAATTTCGATCTAAAAATTTGATATAATTTATTGACCCAATGATGTGACTTCATTGAAATCATTAGATTAACACCAAATTTCAATATTTGATGGAGCCTACAGTCAATTCAAAGGTCAAAGTAAATTAAATCAGCAAATTAGGTCAGTAAATTAAGTCTCAATAACATTGCTCATAATGGTATATTTGCATAAAATGCGAATAACATTGTATAGGATTACTATTAGCCTATTAAAACCCATGTGTTCACTGTGATTGTTATACATATGATCTATGAAGCACGGATACTTTGTTGAGGTTGACGTACTCGTATCGGATATGATACTCGTCGGATATTTGAGGATACGTATCGGATACACCTATTACGTATTCGATAATAATTAAATATTATGATACTTCATGGATACTTTTGTAGTCAAACAATATATATAATTTTTTAGTTGAATTTTTGACATCTCTTTTCGAATTCACATACCATACAATACATTAACAAAAAATTCATATTACTTCAAAGTCACATGAGTATTTTTTAAGTGTTATCTATATTTGCATGTCAAAAAAGTATAAAATAAAGTTATTACATTATAATTTTAGCAAAAATTACTACTAAATATTAGATAAATATTATATTTAATTTTTTTAATTAGTCACTTCACTTTGTGAATATACCACAGCGACATGATTTATATTTTCTTGAAATTAAAAAGAATTACTAGTTTTCTTATTATATGTTAAAGAATTATAAAAATGTATAAGTATTAAATTAGTTGAAAATAATAAAAAATATTAAATATATTTTATTATAGTCGTATTTTGATCATACTCATATCTTATTTTTTAAAATTTTATCGTATCGTCGTATCCGTATTCGTGATTCATAATATATGATTGAACAGTACCACTATGGATGTACAAGAAAGCAAATTAATATGGAAAACTTTCAAAACTATCCCATCGTAAGTATATATGTATATGAAAAAGAAATTAACAAACAAAAAACTGGATTTACCTTACTAATTGCCAGAAGCTTGTCAAGAACAAGCATGGGCAGTTGATTTTCCAGCATCAACATGTCCCTCTTGATAAACGGCATGATATTGAGCTTCCCGTGTTTGCTGAAAATCGGATCGTCGGAGTGATAATCGTCCGGAGTTTTAATGGCTGCCCGGAATATTTCCAGCATGAAACAGCCATCAATAATCATCAGCTTCAAGAACCCTTCTTTGTCACTTGAGTCACTTTGCCACTTAGGATCAAGTGAGTCATATGAATCTTTCAACTCTTCTTCCACTTGGGCGAAGGAATCAAGAATGTCTTTCAGTTTTAGAGGAAAGCTTGCTCTATTCTTAAGAAAATGAAGAAGAGAACGCTTCTTGTGACACTCCATTGGTTCCAAATGAGCCTCACCGTGATGGTAAGGACCGAATGAGACTGCACGAGGACTGTAGACTTCCTTGTGATGGTAAGGACCGAATGAGACTGCATGAGGACTGTAGACTTCCTTGTTTAGATTTGCAATGAAGCTTGGTACTCTGTAGATGGACTTTTTCTTGAGAGGCTCCATCCCTGTTGAAGCATCGCCCATCTTTTCGAGGTCATGATCAACCTCAACCACCCAGCTCATTTTGCTCTCTCCTCTCGCACTTCTGGTTTCTTTTGCTTTCTAGCTCTACACTTCCTGCATGATGTTTATATAGAGACCAGAAGACAGCAATACTCCTGTGATTATCACACAACTCCAAGAGAACATTACTATTGGACCTAATTTAACCTCTTATGTGGAAACCTAATGTTTTATCATTGTTGTATTAATTAACTAGGTCCTAATTATAAGGGTCCATTATCAATTTAATAGTTCTAATGCATTAGCTCTTCAAATTAAGTATAATAATAAAAACAAGAACAAACAATGTAGTGATATTTTTTCTTGGTGACAATAAAAGTTATTTTTGTCTAAAAAATTGATAAAAAAATTGTCCAATTAGTACAAGTCTAAACGGACCAAACTTTTGTTTCTCTTAAACCAAAAAAAGAAAATTGAAGTTTTGCATCCTACTCCAAATAGACCCATTATTTGATTCCAATTTTCAATCTCATTATTTGATTATTCTAGCATTTCTATTGTGATAAAGCCATAAAGGATAAAAGTAAATATCGTGAAATTCCAAGTTTTTTTTTTTTTTTGTATTATAGCTTAGCAAGTGACTTTAAAAATGTGCCTTGCCTCTGATTGATATTCCATGGGAAAAAAGTAAATCAATTAGAGATTATAAAAACATAATGTGGGGAAAAGTCCTTAAAAAACGCATCATGTACTTGTTACTATTTAAAAATACATTGGTGGGGAAAAAGAAGGGGAGGGGGGGGGGGGGGGGGGGGAGTCCTGAAAACAGGCATCCTATACTTAACTTGTTACTATTTAAAAACATATTGGTGGGAAAAAGAAGGGGGGAATCTTGAAAACAGGCATCGTATACTTAACTTGTTTTTTTTTTTGGAAAGTAAATGTATTAAAAAAAAAACCAGATATATAAAGGTAATCAGCAAAATGTACAATGAAGTCACGTAAGACTCAAAGACAAACATCAAAAAATCAAAAAAAAATCAAGGCTCAAACATAAGTATGTAAGAAAAGCTTAACTTGATATACAAGGCTTAACTTGTTACTATTTAAAAAAACATTGGTGGGGAAAAAGAAGGGGGAGTCCTAAAAGCAGACATCATATACTTAACTTGTTTTGTGTTGTTACTTTTAGCAATGAAAGAATGGTTCTTCTCAACAAATACTGGGACCTACAGTGAAATCAATGGTTCTAATTTTTAATTTTATTTTTTAAGTCTATGTAACATTGCTCTAAGTAAATTATCAATTATTTTATAGTACACTTAGCCTTATGCCAAACACTGACATCATTTCACGGAATAAATATACAACCAAATGCACAATGATGAGACATTTCTAGAGATCCACACAAAGATGACACATGTCTTCGATGCCTATATCCTTTTTATTAGTCAGATGAAGACACGTGCACTCGGCACATGTGTCTCCTTAAGGTTCTCAGATAATGACACCTGTCCTCGACACGTGTGTTGTCGTAGCTCTTAGAGTGCAACACATGTCCTCGGCACCGATGTCTCTTGGAATGCTCAGGAGGTGACATGTGTCCTCGACGTGATTGGCTCTCCTGAGGTCCATTTCCAGATACATCATCTCGGCTCCAAGACCCCCAAAGCATGATGGCTAATTGACGACTATCGTCACTTGGAGTCCGATTTAGTCAATAATAATCATCGACTGACCTTCCCAAAGATGTCAGATTGGCAGGAAAGGCTAGACCAGTAACCAAAAAGAATGAGATATGAGGCGTAGAGTTCAGAATTTGAGGCTAATGTGCGAGAATGCCCCTGCTTCAGCGCAGCCAGCACATGATGGCATTTAATGATTCTTCAAAAAGATGGAACGTGTGTATTACCCAAAGGACCATGAAGAAAGAGCATTAAGTGCGAGGAACCCGAGTAGTTATGCTAATGGTTCCTCCACACAAAACCAAAGGCGCCTTGCCCAAAGATTGGACACACCACCTATTACCTTTCAAATGGGCCAATGGGAGACTTTTTTTTGAAGGGACTCACCTGTCAACAATGATAACCTCCATGAAAGTATAAATAGCCACAAAAAACTAAAGGCAAGGGTACGCAGAAAACTAGTGATCAAAAAATCATTAATCATGTCTAGTTATTAATATTTTTGTTTATTTAGTCGGCAAATAGTAAATATATAACATAATATACTTGAACTAGACTACAATACCACATTTCCAAGTGATATGATAATCGACTCAATAATATGGAGTAAATATTGAATGTAACAGTGATACTATGTCACTATTAATGACATTGTATCACTAATCAATACTCCCTCAATTTCTAAATATCTGTCATTTTACACAAATTTTTTTGGTTCTATAATATCTGTCGTTTAATGAAACCAAAGCATAATTAATATTTTTCTTCCAAATTTACCCTTAACTTTTCAATACATTAGATTAGGTGGAGGCTAAGTGTTTTTCATATTCCTTTCATTCTCAATATGTATTGAATAAGGATATTTTAGTCTTGTGTATTTTTTTTTTTGCTCATGTTAGAGCTATTTAATAGCTTCCTTAATCCCTGTACAAAAACCTTAAACGACAGATATTTAGGAACGGAAAGAGTAATAAAACTCCAAATGAAAAAGGTAAACCTCACTTGGGCTTACATGGGAGGAGGAGAGTGTGAAGTTATTTGCTTACATAGCAAGTTAGTTATTAATTTTTGTAAGTTCAATTATATGCTTATTTGTTTTAGTATTATTAATTGGTAAGACCATATCATCTTGTCACGTAGTATTACCATTGTAATGAATATTTTCTCAATAATATGGATAGGGTGTATTATTTAGACAAACATTCAAAATAAATTATTTATAGTAAGGAATGTTTTTTGAAACTAAATGTAGTATAAGGGTTGGCTAAGAGAGTTTTAATTTTTTTTTTTGAACTATTAGAGAGTTTTAATTTGTTATGACTTTTTAATATATTTCTTAATACGGTAACCAAATGAGTCCTAAAAATATGGAGTTAGGACAACATTAAGTCGCAACAACCAAAGACAAATAAATGTGTGATTTTCTTATTATTTTTGCACGGGAGATTTTCTACAACAGATTGAAATAGCGAAAAACAAATTCTACAACAGATTTTCCTATACTTAACTTGTTACTATTTAAAAACATATTGGTGGGGAAAAAGAAGGGGGAATCTTGAAAACAGGCATCGTATACTTAACTTGTTTTTTTTTTCGGAAAGTAAATGTATTAAAAAAAAAACCCAGATACATAAAGGTAATCAACAAAATGTACAATGAAGTCACGTAAGACTCAAAGACAAACATCAAAAAATCAAAAAAAAATCAAGGCTCAAACATAAGTATGTAAGAAAAGCTTAACTTGATATACAAGGCTTAACTTGTTACTATTTAAAAAAACATTGGTGGGGAAAAAGAAGGGGGGAGTCCTAAAAGCAGACATCATATACTTAACTTGTTTTGTGTTGTTACTTTTAGCAATGAAAGAATGGTTCTTCTCAATAAATACTGGGACCTACAGTGAAATCAATGGTTCTAATTTTTAATTTTATTTTTTAAGTCTATGTAACATTGCTCTAAGTAAATTATCAATTATTTTATAATACACTTAGCCTTATGCCAAACATTGACATCATTTCACGGAATAAATATACAACCAAATGCACAATGATGAGACATTTCTAGAGATCCACACATAGATGACACATGTCTTCGATGCCTATATCCTTTTTATTAGTCAGATGAAGACACGTGCACTCGGCACATGTGTCTCCTTAAGGTTCTCAGATAATGACACCTGTCCTCGACACGTGTGTTGTCGTAGCTCTTAGAGTGCAACACATGTCCTCGGCACCGATGTCTCTTGGAATGCTCAGGAGGTGACATGTGTCCTCGACGTGATTGGCTCTCCTGAGGTCCATTTCCAGATACGTCATCTCGGCTCCAAGACCCCCAAAGCATGATGGCTAATTGAGGACTATCGTCACTTGGAGTCCGATTTAGTCAATAATAATCATCGACTGACCATCCCAAAGATGTCAGATTGGCAGGAAAGGCTAGACCAGTAACCAAAAAGAATGAGATATGAGGCGTAGAGTTCAGAATTTGAGGCTAATGTGCGAGAATGCCCCTGCTTCAGCGCAGCCAGCACATGATGGCATTTAATGATGCTTCAATAAGATGGAATGTGTGTATTACCCAAAGGACCATGAAGAAAGAGCATTAAGTGCGAGGAACCCGAGTAGTTAATGCTAATGGTTCCTCCACACAAAACCAAAGGCGCCTTGCCCAAAGATTGGACACACCACCTATTACCTTTCAAATGGGCCAATGGGAGACTTTTTTTTGAAGGGACCCACCTGTCAACAATGATAACCTCCATGAAAGTATAAATAGCCACAAAAAACTAAAGGCAAGGGTACGCAGAAAACTAGTGATCAAAAAATCATTAATCATGTCTAGTTATTAATATTTTTGTTTATTTAGTCGGCAAATAGTAAATATATAACATAATATACTTGAACTAGACTACAATACCACATTTCCAAGTGATATGATAATCGACTCAATAATATGGAGTAAATATTGAATGCAACAGTGATACTATGTCACCATTAATGACATTGTATCACTAATCAATACTCCCTCCATTTCTAAATATCTGTCATTTTACACAAATTTTTTTGGTTCCATAATATCTGTCGTTTAATGAAACCAAAGCATAATTAATATTTTTCATCCAAATTTACTCTTAACTTTTCAATACATTAGATTAGGTGGAGGTTAAGTGTTTTTCATATTCCTTTCATTCTCAATATGTATTGAATAAGGATATTTTAGTCTTGTATAATTATTTTTTTCTCATGTTAGAGCTATTTAATAGCTTCCTTAATCCCTGTGTAAAAACTTTAAACGACAGATATTTAGGAACGGAAAGAGGAATAAAACTCCAAATGAAAAAGGTAAACCTCACTTGGGCTTACATGGGAGGAGGAG